ATAAACACTTATTGTCTGTCATCGATACTTTATAACCTTTACTTGTAGCTTTAGTCAACGAAAAAAGTTAATTTTAATTTCTGGCACAAACAGCACATTGCTTAAAGTTGATTTCACATAATGTTTACCATTAAATATTAAAAGTTCAATATTTCCAACCCCAACAACAGGTAAGTATCGTTAATCTCCAACAACAACAAATTGATCTGATGTTGACACAGACTGATAACTTGTAAACAAAGAACGATCACAAGTCATGTGCTCACTTGCCCCACTGTCTATGAGCCATCGCTTGTCACAGATTAAGTTAGGTTCTGTTGTCATAGCTGTAGTAGCCATCGACACTATAAAAGCATTACCCTTCTTGTTATACACATCACTTTGTCTCTTTATCTTCATATTTTTATTCTTTAAACAGTCTGCCTTTAAGTGTCCAAAACCCCCACACTCATAACACTTGCGTCTCTCTTTACTTCTACAATATTTTGCCAAATGTCCAAGTTTCCCACACTTAAAACATTTTTTTGTAAACCCTTTACTTTCACTATTCTTCTTTATATATAATGCAAGATTCTCTTTTTCTTCATTATCTTTATTTTTCAGGTTCAACCTCTCTTCCTCAACAAGCAAGCGAGCCACTAAATCTTCATAGTTCTGTTTGTCAGTTTCCACAGACTCCCAAGCAGATACAAAATGACTATATGTATCTGGTAGCGACATGAGTATTTTTGTCATAATAAACTTACCTGAAATCTTTTCACCAGCTTGTTTTAACTGACAGATCATCTCTTGTAGTTTAGCCAGGAACGTTGAAAGGACCCCATCCTCAAACTTATACTGTAGAAAGCGTTGTTGCAGCATCATAGTACTAGTGGCTGATGTCGCCTCATATACAGTGTGTAGTTTACTCCATATAGCAGCCGCTGAATCACAAGTTAAGATATGCACCATGGCTGCCTCACTGATCCTCGACACAATAATAGCTTGTGCCTTAGCGTCTTTACTTTGCCAACTTTCATCTTTAGTGTCAGGATTCTTTTCATCGCCTTTGACTACCGAATATACGCCTGCCCCTCGCAAGGCTATAGTCACCTGGAATTTCCATACATTCCAGTTCTTCTGCCCTTCTAGCCTGATAGCTGACGCCGCCATCATAGTGTTCTCCATTGTACGTGTACGCGTGATAACAAACTCCGCCGTGCGTGCCTGATGCCGTGCCTTTCTCGCCACACGACCTCCCACAGACAACGCCGCTGCCCCCGACAACCACGTAGCTCACCGCCGCCTCCGGATTTTAGCCTCGCTGTTGTCGAATTCACGCTAACCACACCAACGCCACTTTTCAGCGTTTTTAATTTTGCCAATCTTCACCTAAAACAGAATTATGTGCACTGGGCCCATAACCTGTTAGGACTTTATAATGAAAGACCATGTTATTTTATAGAACGAGCAACGTTTATTCTGTTTCAGGTGACACATTACATAATCTCAATACAAACACATTGGCGACCATTACACAACCATAGAGTAGAGATCAGAGCAATCATAGACACATTTCATTGCCACTCTCAACAGTACTTACCACTTCTGATTTGTAAGGAAACTCCTTCAGAAACCAACAACTAATTTATTCAACTCCAAATTAGCAGTTCCAGTAATAATAATTAGGGACGACACATCCGAACACTTCAACGGCTATCAGCAGAATGCTCCCTGTCCACTCTCACTAACCCGCCATGTTCAGTCGGCCATACTTCTTTCGCGCAATTGGACACTCCCAGTTTATTTTAACTTATAAAATAATGATTTCATTAATAATCTGGACAAAATTAAATTGAATCTAATAGGTACTTACCTCTGTTGAATTTAAAAATAATGTCTGATAGGAAAAGGTTTATTTTTATATAGCTACTTATTAGAAAGTATTGTAAAAGTTAAATTTTTTAACGGATAGAGGGTTAAAGGTGTAGTAGGACAAAAATTATGGTTAATCGATATACAGTTTAATATGGTTTCCAATTTTTTATTTTTATTTATTACCTTATGCTATCAAAATAGCATTAAACAAGGGCATGCGATAACATCTAAAACCACAAAGGTTTGTACTGCGCTATCGGAGTTTACATTTTTATTGCCTTACTTAAAACACAGTAAGTATTATGTATAATGCTCTTAAACTACTGAGTTCAAATTAATATAGGTAGTAAATTAAAAAATAATTTAAAAATGTCAAAACTGCGGTACATACAAGTGTCTTTGATGGAGTAAATGTTTAAAAAAATCTATTTTATATAACAATATTTGATTTGAGTTAAATGTAAATAGTGCTACACTAACTTTGATTGTTATTTCCCGAAAAAAATGTCTTTCAAAGTTTCTTTAGTACTTTTATCGAAATTAAAGGTGAGCGGAAAGGTTATTTATTCCTAAGTATACTAAATAAGTCTTTTTCTCCGAAACAGTTTTTTATAAATATATATATTTCTACTTATAAAATGGGGGACAATTAAGTGAGTAGTAATAAGTTTCGTAGGCACTTAAGGCACCTAATTTGTTACAATAATTTGCGCAATGGAATTTAGTCGATGCGCATTTTTTTGACGCAGCGAACACGTTCGAAGTAGCTTTGAATTGTGTGAATATCATGCTGTCTGCGGTAGGGCTGTCAATTCCTATATTATGTTGAAAATGTTGTTTAATTTTTATTTTTGGATATGAGAAGTATACGTTTCTAAGGTTTTCACGCACATCACTCATTAAATAAAACTAGTTTTTATGGGTTAATGCACGAAAGGACAATGGGCAAAACGCACCCAGCTCCGCCAACAATGTAATTAGTATGAATCGATAGATCTATGAAAAACTAGCCTTTTTTATTATGACACCAAAAATAAATATCCTGGGAGTCAAAAGATATGACAGAGTAAAAAATATCCTGGTAGTCAATAGATATGACACATGGGCATATTTAAGTAGCTGAATAAATTCATTTTATAGTACCTTCATTTTATATTATTAGTAATCAACCAGATATACGACAAAGCCTGCCAACCATCCTGCGCTTGCTCTTACTGAGACATTTGAAAACGATTTACGGATGATGAAGGACTTGCAGTTGCAAATAATCGACTCATCTTACTTTGTTGTGATTGTTCGCTCCCTGCTACTAGATTGATTTTTATCTTAGACGCTTTGAATATTGGAACACGATTATCGGTTTTGTCAATTAGTATGGATGAACTGGAATCATGTTTTCTCCGAAGGCGTGGACAAGTTTGTGTGATTTATGGTCGCTCCCTTTTTATATAGAAGACAATTTACTACACGAACGGAATGATTGAAAAAACCCCCAACTCATGCGGGGATTTTTGGATTTGATCTAGCGCGACAGAATAACATAAGGGGGCACCCTTGCACCTTGTGAAGTACTCCCATAATACCTGAGCCCTCTATGTAGGGTCGAACTAACTAAATAAATGAATTACATAGTTTCATTAATGTTCGTTCGTTATAGTACTTGTACCTATTTGACTCAAAATAACTAAAGACCCCCGCGATAGAAATTGATGCGCTTTGGCACAAATGATCTTGACTGTACCTTTATAATAGTACCTTGTATAATACCTTTCAAAAAAATGTAGTTTTAGCCGTGGCGGACGTGGGTGCAGAGTCCATACATTTTTGCCCATTGTCCTTTTATTTATTTATTGACGTTTCGTAGCCTTTACAGGTATAGTTTTTACGGTATACATGGTAAGCAAAAGAGTTTTGTTTATGCTATACTTTGCAGTAGTTGAGGCAGTAATCACGTATGGGCTGGGGGTGTACGGAGTCACTTTTTCCACCTATTTAAATAAAATTAAACAACTTCATAAGAAAATCTTAAAACTATTATTTAATAGGAAAATAAAAAAATCATTACAAAAAGATTACGAAAAATTATTCCCAATATGTAAATTATTACCCATTGAAAGTAAAGTAAAAATATTAATTTTTATTGAAGAGTTTGGCAAAACAGAATATCGTAAGGAAAGACGCCATACATACCCAACTCATACAAATAATAAACAGCTGTTAATACCAAAAATAAATAATTATTATGGAAAACGTGAAAGACGTGATGGTGTCCACCTTAATTAATGAATTATCGGAAGATGTTACTAAAGGTGTGGCCTCTAGGAATAGTCTTTAAGCATAGATCAAGAAACATTACCTGTCACTATCTCCATGACCAGCTAATTAATGTATGTCAAATCCTACTATTAAATCCTCCATCCAAATATATTATATCTTATTAATATTATAACCGTGCAGGCTTGTAAGTTTGTATGTTTGTAATTGTTACTCAATCGCGCAAAAGCTACTGAATGGATTTTATTAGATTGACAAGCATATATAATTTATTAACTGGATTGAGACAAAGAGGATACTTTTTATATCGGTGTAATGTAAGGTTTAGGTATTAATTAAGTGTAGTACTAATAGATATGACAAACAATTGTTTTTAGGGAAAAGATAAATACATGTGTCACGGGAACTGCTACCGACAAAATTCATTGCAGTTTAGCAGAAAAATAGTTAGTGTTTTGCTCTGTGGAAAAAAATGTAGGTATATAAAAATATGCTGTAAAAGTACAATATTGCATAGTTTAAATTATTGAAAATAGTGAGAAATTCATGTAGACGTCTAAAATAGCACTATAATATGGCAATGAACAATTTTGAAAATTGAGACAAATTTAAAAAAAATGGGGTGGTTTTAAGAAAATTCGATGCAAGTGAAACTTTTAAAATCCTTAATAAAAATTGTCTTATCTCGGCTGGGAATCGAGATATTTCTCTGTATTTGTCACTGTTTACTGACACAAATGTATTAAACAAAACCTAAATGTAAAAAAGGACCATAAAAAATGGTGCGCTTAATTCTCTAATCACAAATATTTTGTTGCGGACAAAAGATGAAATAACGATAACCCTACCCGACTCGGTATGAGCGCACGGCTTCTACCATGCCATGGCCATTATCCATTACTCCGCGGTAGAGGACGACGAGTGGCCGTATCGCTCGCTATCCATTTTACGACTCGCGTACTAGTAAAACTACCAACACGCTTACAGCTGTGACCTTATTCTCTTCAATACATTCTTCACCAGTGTCAGAAATTAAATAGTTTTTATCGTGATCCAAAACTTAACAGTGTTCTAATAAAGTGGTTCTCTTAATGTTTACAACATCAACATTACACGACGTATGGTTCAAATCAAAATGAGTCAGTGTTTCCAAGTTTTTAAGTGTTTACGGTAACAGTGATCGAACGTAACCTGTGGAATTCGCTCGCTGCTGTATCGTTAAATTGAGCAGTGATCGAAATAGACCTCTCGATTAAAATTCCATGTTATGAAACTGAAAACATAGCGCCATAAATAAGTTTGATAAATGGGAGAAGACGGTATATATTATTTATCAATAGAATAAAGTAAACTCTTCGACATGAAGAGTGGTCGCAGCTGCTGGTTGTTTATTGCCCTTGGAGTCATACTAACATCATCACCGACGACGGCTTACTATGGGACTGATGAAAAAGGTTTGAAACTTTTTGGCTTCGGTGATAAATTAAAATATGATCTGTGTAATACACGCCTACAAATTCTTCCATAGGGCTCTAGTTCGGATATTCCCAAAAAATAACAAGACACAAATTTTAGATCCTGACGCACAAATGTACAAAATGCCTTCATAAAGCTTTTGCAGTAGGGATTCGAACTGGACCCTAACTATTCATTTGGAATGAATCTGAAAATCTGACTATCAAATCCTTCTGCACTTAATTCTTATCAGTATAGTTCCAAAGCCTTATCCGTAATGCGATAGTAAAGCCTCTGGTTGTATTTTATTTTAACTAACTAGTAGCAAATTTGATAAAGACTTAACTAAGGAATCCAGTAATACTAAAATTCGTTGCAACACTTTGAATAGTTGACATTCCATCACACATTTTTGTAAGTTAATAGTTGTTGGAATGCTTGCGATGCTATCCATACCTTATAAATATTTACTTCGTATGGTACATACGCAGTTTGACCTCTAGTTGGACCGTGCAATCAACGTACAGTGGACTTGGTAATTAATTTATTATACTGTCGTACAATAGGTGTCGTCTAATGTTTTCAGTACAGTAGGTAGGAGTACTTAAGACTCACTGCGCATAAAATTTACATCAGTTCTGCTAATAAATTATTACGATCTATGAATAACAATTTTACTTATGGTCTTTTATATTTACACCAATAGTTATTATTAAAACTGTGAATAAATATTTAGTCATCTCGAAATCAGATAAGTAAATATAGAATTTGAAACAAGATATTCCTACCCTCTTATGATTTTTCTTATGGTTATAAATAATGTTATCAGATTTTTAAGCATTTAACTACCAGAAGATATTAAAATATAAAGAAAATTTTACTGAAAAAAATTTCACTCATTTCAGGTTTTACATGGGATTCGAAGCCGCATCTTTCACTATCCAGACGGAAGATGTGGATTCGAATCCCCTGATTTTGTGGTATTTTTTTCTTTAGATTTATAATATGTTTTTAATAATATCTTAATCTGAAGTACTTACTAACAGCAAAGTTAATAATAACTTAATATTGAAACATTAATGAAATAGTTTTTTGCCATAAGGTAGGTAGGTACATAATAAAAAAACCGGTGTGATTGTCTAACATTGTCTAACGTACAAAAACTAAAAACTAACTTGGAGTGGCTTTGGTTCCATATTGATAAATATTATACAAACACATAATTTTCTATGAAGATTTACTTTAACATGCATTTTAGATGTAACTATCACTTTTCTGAGCGCATCTTTAGCATTTGATAAAATTATTAAAACTGTGGTCACTAATTAACGAATTGAAGCTTGCTACTGTTTTAACAATCTGTGGAAATAACAAGGAGACGAAGATTCGGCGAGGCACAGCTTGGCTATGGGTATTATGAGCTTCGTGAGTAAGTATGCTGAAATTGAAAATAATTGTGGTAACCTTCTGTGCACAGATATTAATGCAAGTGCATTTTGACTAATAATTTTTATGGAACCATACACCAATGAATGGGCTAACAAGTCCATGTACAGCAACGGCACATCATGTCAAATGTTCTCAAAATCGCGTTAGATTTCATATTAAAGCACGCCAAGGTTAAAACCTTAAATAGATGAAATTTTATAGTTTTAAGTAATGTTCTGTTGACTGTATATACTTAAGTTTCAAAAAAAATATTAGGAGATTAATTTATAGAATGAATAGAGTAGTCAAACGGAAAATGTACAAATAAAAATAGATGGTTGATTAATGTAACAGATAGCTTGTACGATTATGTTGGCTAAATTTCAATGACATTGATCTTTATAAACGGTGAGCACCTAGCGGTTAATTAGTATACAGTACTTATATTTCTTATAGTTTGATATCGATACAGAAAAAAACCTTATGTCTGTCTATATCTATACTATCTTTATAAATAAATTTTGTACCTATACGATATTTATCTTAACACAATATGCCTAAAGATCATCTGTTATTCATAATATAGGTAACATCTCTAACATCAATTACACACAAACAACGAAGTTAATACTTGTCCCTAAAAACAGATTTATTATTCTTAAATAATTATCGAGTACAACTTTACTATGATTGTGAATAATTTACAACTATTAACAACTGAGTAATGTGTCTCTGAGTCACTTAACAGCTCTTCAAGTTATATGACCGCGACTGCGAAATCAAAGACTGGCATAATATCATCTCGTAGTTCAAAATTACGAGAATCGTAAAATTTCAAAACTATTTTTTATTATTGTTTAATCTGACATTGTACGGTTGTACATACATAACGTTAGTTTTTATATGTGTATACCCATAAAAAATATCTCTTTCGTCAAACTGCGATTATAGATTGTGGATGCATTATTTATATCATCTTCTATTTGGTAATAAAGTTAATAGGTATAACACTTAAAGCTTTAAGTCGAATATAGAAGATAATTTAATTATTGACTAGAAGCTGCTGGTCATGGAAACAACACAACACATGCAAACATAACATTGTAAATTTTATCTACTGTCTATTCATTCAAAATGTAAATTGTCCATTCTAATATCTAGGATAAAACAAAAACTAGAGAAAAAAAGTTTAATTATACGGGGGCATTATCTATTCGAGTATACTAGATTGAAAATAACGTTCAGTATTTGAGTAATATACGTAAAATGTATTTTGTTTTGCATAAATCCTTAATTTTATTCGTGACAAGGTATATGATTGACCTTTTTTTCGATAACGGGGAGAAAATATTCATAAGTTAATACCAACCAATAATAACGAATCTTAATTAAATTTAACTATGACTATGATTTATAATTAGTTGTAACTCTCATGAGTTTCTAAACTAAAAGTTTGACCAGACTGAACTGAGGCACGATATAGGTACGTTATCCTGAAAATAGAACAATTTCAATAAGTGGAGCTCTGAAGGAGTCCGCTTTTATCTTCATGCTGATAGGCGTTGACCGATTTCTTTCATCTATATCTTTTACTGAGTTTATCTTTTATGCAATAGTAAATATATCACCTTCCAAATTGAAATAGATTCATTGATTTGCTCTCTATTTTTGCCAATAACTGCTAAACTTTGATATGAAAATAATGGAATTTCTATGATTTAAATTGTTGGTTTTATTCAAGTAGCGAACGGGCTGTTACGTACGTTATTTATCAACTACATTTAGGAATTGTTGTCAATATTTAAAAAATACTTTGTGCTTTTTGAAATAAAAAAAATGATGTTTTAATGGCGATTTACGTACTTAAATTGTATAAAAAGTCATATAAAGTAGGTATACTGTGTACCTATCACAGACAAGTTTTGAGCATGATTGTGAACATTAAGATCAGGGCACAAAACCTATGTACCTACTTGGAATTTCATAGTAACGATAATGAAACTCATCAAAATTGACTGTTTATATTGCACAAACTTTAGAGTTTGTTAATATACATACATCAAAAAAGTCTAAGCAATACAATGCAAAGCAAATTAGAATACTTACAATATTTTATGTTTTCTAAAATACACTTGGATGATTTTAAAATATATTTTTTTTTAGATTGTGTTTATAATATTATAGTATTATTATATATTACAATAATAAAAGCGTTCTAAAGTTTAAAACCATACAACATGTTGCTTAGACTTTTTTGGTCACTATAATACTATTAGCCCTGTAAAGTTACCGTTTGAAAGTATGGGCTACATTGCGTCAAATCCGGAGGTTCTGTTTTTTTGCAGACTAGTTTATGATGTTGATTGGTAGTCCAATGTATGATGCAAGTTTGAGACCTCGCACTTGTCTCGCACACCGAACGCAACTTTGTAAAAAATCGATAACACGAAATTTTCGGCTGTTTTCAGATATTAGCGATTATAACCCTAAAAGACTGGTTTTTAATAGAAATTTCTGAAGACCTCTTTAAAGTAGACTAATATTTGCTATAATATGAGACTGGAATTGTCTCTGTAGACCTAAAAGATTCCAAAATGAAGCCTTGCCAGTAAATTAATACATCAGAGCTTGCGTCAAATTCGGTAGTTTTGACTGTACACTCGTTTATAATGTTGGCCCAATGAAAAATCCAAGTCTTTGATCTCGAGTGTCGAACGCAACTATATAAAAAAATTAAAAACCCCGAAAAATAAGACTTTTTCAGATTTTGGCAATTATAACTCTTTAGGATTTATTTTCGGTACTAACTTTTTAAAATATTTTTAAGGACATTAAAGTTACAATATACATGTATTATTTGACATCTGTTAAAGACTTTTCTGATATAAAACATGGGGAAAAACAGCCCAGAATAAGGTCACCTTAGATTTGTGAACCGATGCATGGCGTACTTTCGACTTTCCCATGATGCTTGTAAAAGCCGCAACTGAATAAATGAATTTTGAGTTAAATCGATACATAGTAGTTCGTTAGAAGAGACTACAACAAAAAGCATATAGTATAAAGTAATACGGTGCGATTGTGCACTTAAAAAACTGAGAGTTCATATGTTAGTCAATTACTATTATTAAGCATCCTATGTCTCAAATCTGGTAATAGTTTATTACCTTATTAGATTTGTCCCAGAAATTTTTGAAAAAAAAAGTGTACGCGAACGAAGTCGCAAGTATCCGCTAGAGAACGACAAAGTTGATTTTTTTGGTCCAGCGTCCTCTTATGCGTCATCGCACCGTAGGAAGTGTTTGGTCTGTGTTCATATTATATAAATAAAAACAGTCTCTTTATTTACGACTACCTACTTCGAATTTAGAGATAAGTTACTCATGTGCAAGTAGTCGGAAACTTCGTTTTGCTAGACCACCAGTGGGTCTTGTACTTTATATTTTAAAAAATCGTACTAGTGAATCGTTTTAAGTATTGGGTATATTTTCTTAAACTCAATATCACGGATGCCCAATCTATGTCGTACTCGGAGGAGACAAATTAGTTTAATTATATTTTTAGTCACATG